GGTGTTATTTGCCGAAGCCGAAGGCTGAGGCAGAAAATACAGTGGCGAGGTTTGATACTTCTTGATATCATGCGAACACCGAATTTAATCATTGTTTTAATTACACATTTTTAAAACAATCTGCAGAAGAAGACACTCTCAGAGTTTGCAAAAGCTTGAGAACGCTACACGAGCGAGGGGCTTAGAAACTTGGCAGCCTTTGAACTTGATATCTGTAGCAGATATTGGGTTATCATGATGAGTTACCATGTCAACTTCACACACCATCGTATATTGACTGGATGCTCTCTTCTAATCAAAGTTTTCATAGCATGTCTAATGTATAATAATGGAGTTTGTCTGTAAAGATAAACCGTCCAAACTTTTACTTGGACGTCTTTGTTTGTTTATATGGTGTTGTAAATTTTAAGATTTAAATTGCAAATCCAAGTTGAAGTATTCCTCTTTCTAAAACACTGGTTGAAAGCTAGGGTATTGATATAAATTGAATGCTGAGTGGAAACATCTGTCATTTGAACTTTTCAAGCAACTGCTCAGGCACGATATTCACTCTGACATAAAAATTAGAATCTTACATGTTCTGTCTTCAAAAATGTGTGTATTGTCAGCACCTTTCATCCCATAACTAATAAATTTGTGCTATCAAATTAAATTCTGTAACTATGCTTCATATTCCTCCGTGCATGTTGATGAGTTGTAAGCACTGGAGCTAAGCAGATGAAGTTTTCTTTCAAATAAAATTTTAACTTCCTCTTGTGAAAATGTTTTAAAAAATAGGTTTATGTGTCAACTGTTTTTTCATCCATATGTGAAGCCCTTTAGGAGTTTGATGAGTGCTAAAGAGGCTTCTTTTAGTGATATCTTGAGCACCTCTTAAGAATCTTTTGTACCCTTCAAACTTCCTGTATGCTTAATGTCTTGATGAATGCAAACCCTTGGATACACCAACTCTTGATCTTAAGATTGAATGAAACATAATTCACAATTCTATCAATACCTCACATGATTGAGTATGTTGGCATACAATTATACTTTTGTCTTTGAGAACATCAACTTATCAAGTTCTATAAAAATCAAAACAACAGACATAATTCATCCAGCATTTAATTGGGCAGATTTGAAGGCAAAGAATTTACAAAAAAAAGGAAACCACTACATCACTTCTTCTTCTTTGATGGCAACAATATACCGTCATACTAAAAAAACAAAACAAAACAAAACAATATTAACATAGAAGTATAACATAGTAAGCTGTGTAGAGTCGGAGAGAGAGGGGAGGGATGGTGGTAACAAATGATCTTGTAAATTGTCCAGGGGAGGGAAGTCCTAAAAAGGACTGAAATTTATGATAGTCACTTAAGTTTTGTCAGCGTGAATTAGAATAATCAATAGCTCATTAGAGACAAGGTGAAGTTGTTTATCAGTCAAATAAGGAAAGTCAGCCACTGAAAAGCAGTAATAATAAGAGTCACAGCTGTATGAGTATTTTCCAACTATTGCCAATTTGGCTCAGCTCCTCAAAGTTAAAGGGTTAAGCAGGCTGGCCCAGTTCAGCTTTAAGCCAGTTTTAATAGGGGCCTACCTCCCCTTAGAGTGACTGATGTCTAATTTCTCTGAACAGTATCACCTCTGTATCAAACATAAAATCATGACAATAAAGGAAATGATCACAAACTAATGAGACACTTGATAATTTGACAAATTCACCTTTCAATACCGAAGGCAATGTGTAGAGAAAAGAGGGAAGAATATGCATAGTGACGTTAAGGTATAAGGGTTTCCAGGTGTTACCTTCTGTTGGAACCACTTCATGGATTCATCCTTTGATATCAGATGCTTGTAGCCAATTCTGGATTGCTTCCTTTTTCGTTCAGCAACACTGAAACCAGGACGTCCCAGCACCACATAGAAATCCATGCCATAAATCCCAATACTGGGGTCATATTTAATTTCAAGATCAATATGTTCTTGGATTCCAAAACCAAAGTTTCCAGTTTTAGAGAAGTTATCCTTTGAAAGCTCATATTCACGAACCTATTTAAACAAAAAACAAAAACCGCTTAGTTCCAGTCTGCCTATGTTAAATCTAAGCCTGGTCATACATTAGTTCAACTTGAGCTTTAACCCTTTAACTCTCAGCAGTGATCAACATGCAACTTCTCCCAATAATATCCATACATTATCCAACAAACAGGTAATGAGAATACTCAAACTTAGCAGGAAGAAGTTGTCATTTGATCTAACACTGAATTCTCATAACTACTTTACAAGGAAATGTGTAGCAGCTAGAGGGGAGAATTAACAATCAGATCTTGGGAGTTAAAGTATTACCACTGCCCTTTGGATATGACACTAGTCTCTAGGAGTAATTGGCTTCTAATTTCTCCTTCAAGTATCACACTTGAATCATATGTAAAGCTCATAAGAAAAAAGGAAAATTAATGATGACCAATCAAAGAAGCTCTTGATTGTCAAACAAATTCTCCTTGTCAAGACAATAGGAAATGTACAGAAGACAGTGTGGAGAATATGAATACCAATGTAAAAGGTGTGAAGGTTTAAGGTAGCCCTCCACCTTTCTTTTAGGTTTCCATGACAGTTTGCCAGTACTCATTTAAACCCCTGAGAGAGAGGTGTTATAAAGGCAAATATAGCATCAACAAACACCACACAAAGACCCATTCAGGGTTTGCCCTGGTCTTATCCATCTGGAGTCCACTGGGCTAAATGTCTTGTTATTTGACATCAGATTGTTCCTACCAGTGAACTCTACCTCTGTTGTAGATGCTTTTATATCATCTCTCAGTTAGTATGTAACCACGGTGAAACCTTTGTCAAACAAACAATCTTTTCAATTTTCTTTTAAGTCGTTTGATTTTTCGTGACTGCCAACCATGTTGGTCACTTTACAACTTCTGAAGAGCTGCGAAACTTATTGAAATATCCACAAATATAAACTATGTATGAATACAATCGATCTTTCCAGAAGACAAGGCATTTGACTGACGCAAAAATATCGCTGATGAATTAGGGAATATATAGACCCATTCAAGGTACGGCTTTGTCGGGTTGACGTAAATGGCAAGGTCATCAAAGCTTGGAGGGGTATATTCAATATAGGAGCGTATTTAAACAGTTATTGGATTTATCGCATGTTAAATAGGAGTATAGGAGCTTGGGACGAAGGAAAGTTATCACCTTGGGCGCAAAAAACTGTTTAAAGAGAACGCAGATCCACCTAATACGCTGGTAACGTTTGTTGATACTCGCCTTCATGCAAGGTTTCCGTTACCATTTTCAAGGCGTTTAGGTTTAGTAAGTAACCGGTACGATAGAAGGGCTGAGCGAAAAAAAGAGAGGCAGTGCTTTGTAAGCTGTCCATTGCAGCTTGCTCTCCAATTGCTGGGTAAATTCATTACTCTGTGTCATAAAATTAAGTTCCGATTGTATCATACTTTAAACTAGGGGCGGTTTATGTTTATTCTCTTCCGTCTCGTTAGACTTTCCTATTTTTACAGATCCCAAAACCCACAAGAATCTAACGAGCTCCACCGCGCGCAGCAAATGTAGTTTTCCAGTTTATATATACTGAGTAATTTGACGAGTCAGAACAGTTACCGCAGCCAAGAACTTATCAAGAATCTAACAAGCTCCGCTGCAGCAAGTAAAGTTTTCCAGTTTGGTGATAACAAGACAAAGGAGTTATTGCGGTCAAAACTTAATAATATTCATCACAACTACATTTTATTTTGTTTTTGATTCATGATTTACGCAAAGATAATCCTAAATTTACTTAAAATCTGTACTTAAAATGCAATCACATTGGGTGTCGAAACTATGGCCATCTGTACTTAGCTCTAAGCGATTCGATAATCGCCAAACAATCAGTTGTTCATCGAACTTATTTTGTCTTTATACTGACCCAGTGAAGATTGACATAGAAACTTGATATTTCGTATCGGACGCTTCGCTTTTTATCTACACAGAGTATGACCTTTAAGTAGTAAACCTCTATGTGTTCGCGGTGGTCGCGTTTGAAAACAAATTAAGCAGTTTTACTAAGGCTACTTAGAACACTGAGTTCCATTATCTTAGCAATTACTGTTGTTTTTGGCAAATTGTGATCAATGTTGTTCATGTGTGCTAAGCCAAACTCTTTTAACTGCCAATTTTACAAATATACGGGTATGGTATTTTCCCCAAGTCGTTACTGTCTAAGAGTGAAGGTGAATCAGTTTGATACGATGAAGTGACTCTTGAATATCAAAAACTGATTCTTTGTTACATTGTTCGCATGACGTGAGTTATATAATCATTCTAGGTTCCTTAAAACACGCCGCAGAACATGTATGTACGCCTTTTAGAGTCATCTGTAATTAGTGTTATGAGTACCTCATAACACTAATTACAGATTAATCGATAACAATCGATATCATAACATACAACCTGGCCGTTTATAACAAGCGTCTTTTCTGGTAGCCATGGATTCAATCTTCAACCCAATGACTCTTCTGTGAGGCGCACAACTTCTTTTGAAAAAGTTCATTAAAAGCCGACAGTGCCTGCTGACATCTCTTTATTATTTTTATTTATTCTAAAATTGATTAAATTGATTTACCAGACAATGCTTTTACGCATTGTTTAATTTCTCATGCGGTCATTATTGAAAGTGCCAAACAAAAAACAAAGAAATTGTGAAGCTTGTAATAATCGCAGTATGAATTTTTTAGTTCATTTATCGAGCGGTACGCCTCGAGTAAAGTCGTAATAAGGTGAATAAAAATCGTCGACTTTGTTGAGACGTCATGCACTTGTGGTTAACGATACCGTGCATTAATCAGGGAAACCAGCTTTGCCGACTGCATGATGGCAAGATATTTGTAGACTGTCCTAAACTTGTAACTTGTACAGTTTAAAATTAAAAATACGTTTACGTCAAAAGGTGTCACAGGGGTGAATAGCAAAATTTACCATGTAAACTGACCCTTAGTTCAATAGAACGAGAATGGCGCTCTCACACGGAATGGTAACGTTAGGGCGCTTCGCGCTTATTCTCCTTCTGTGTCTAAAGTTGATTTTCATCTGCTTAAATGTAGTCTCTTGTATTGTATTGGGTCACTGGACTTTCACGGTAGGAATCTTGTTGATCTTGTCGACCGTTACGCTACATATTGTCGGGATGATATCATTTGGCGAAGCGTGGACACTTGGGAAACGACATTATTACTCTTACACTTGGTTTGGGTATACTGGTCTTTTAATAGTGGACATTATGGTAGTACTTAAACCGTATCTACTAGTCGTAGATGCAGAGCAATATATTCCATTTTGGCCAACGACTTTTGTCAAAGTTCTTTATATCACACCATTTACTTTGCTGCTCTTTTTGAACACTGCTGGCGAAGAAGGCACCGAATTTCACGGAGAATCTAGATGGTTGATTGTTACAATGTCTGCACAAATATTCGACGCCATCGATATGATAGACAATGTTTTGAACGATTATGGCAATGGGACACCTACAGGACTTGGAGTGGGCATGATTACCCTTGCTTTTGGATGTCTGTTGCTTGCAGCGTGGGAGTTTCTAGAACTAGCGCATCACTCACCCGGAAGCCAAAACGGAGCGAAGGTCTATCGACTTATCGTGTTGATTCTCGTTAGCCTGGCAACTTTGATAATTCGAGCGGTGGTTTATGTTGATTATGGTTGGAGAGAAACGACGCCGATCGTCAAGAATGTAATCGTGATATGTATATCAGTCTCGGAATTACGCCGTTGCTTTGGTCAGACTTCTCTATAAACATATCTGGATGAGGTACAACTAGGCCCGGCTAAATCAGATAATCTGGTTTCGTCTTTCGCTCTGACAAAGCGCTAACGTCAGCTTTAGAAACCTTTTACGGTGGCCAATTTACATTATCAACTTTGTGGATAAAACTAAATTATCTTGTTCTACCCTTCACCGACGCAGCACCAGAGTTCCTTTAGAAAGTTACTACCTTTATTCATAGGGCTTAAATTGGCACTCCTGAGCCACACCGATTATTTTAGCAAAACGGTGATCTTAAATGGGGGCTTCCTCGATCAAAAGCTGTCTATTGATAACTCACAATTAGCAATTACTCGTTGATGCTGAGCATTTCATGAATAATCAATACCGAGGTCGGTGTTATTTGCCGAAGCCGAAGGCTGAGGCAGAAAATACAGTGGCGAGGTTTGATACTTCTTGATATCATGCGAACACCGAATTTAATCATTGTTTTAATTACACATTTTTAAAACAATCTGCAGAAGAAGACACTCTCAGAGTTTGCAAAAGCTTGAGAACGCTACACGAGCGAGGGGCTTAGAAACTTGGCAGCCTTTGAACTTGATATCTGCAGCAGATCCCTTGCGAACTGAATTCCCAGATTTCTGGGAATTCCTAGGAATTCTCAAAAATTCCCAATTATGCAAATGACCCTTGCAAACTGAATTCCCAGTTTTCTGGGAATTTCTGGGAATTTCTGGGAATTCCTAGGAATTCCTAGGAATTCCTAGGAATTCTCAAAAATTCCCAACTATGCAAATTAACTCTGATTTAAAAAGCTTGGAATTACTGGGAATTTCTGGGAAAGGAAGACTCCAGTTTTGTGAGGACTTGGAATCCCTAGGAATTCCTCGGAATTCTCAGCTTTACAAACTACCTATAATTTAAGAAGTGTGGAACTCTTGGGAATTTCTGGGAATTGAATTTGAGGCAATTTTAATACCCTGAGGTCCACATAAATTCTAAGAAATTCTCAATACCTTGAATGTGAAGGTTTTAAGAAAAAGAGTAATTTCAGAGGCTTAAAACTTTGGCTCAATAAAAGGTATGGTATACAAAACTTACCAAGAGATATACATACATGTACATGTTTATAACTTAAAGATCATGAAATTTATTACTCAAACTAAGTTTTAGTAAATCTTTACATTAATATGGATTTTCTCATGAACCAGCTGTCAGTTATGTTAAATGGAAATTGCCAACTTCCACAATAATTAACAATAATTACATTGTTATCTTACTTCCCTAACCTACATTACTGGTTGCCTTTGTTAGAAAACCTTGGAACAGTCAAGCTCAGTTGCCTCAAACGCTGTCAGAGACTTTTTGTTGACAATACTTTTAGTAGAAATTTCATGCCTTAGACAAACAAATTCAACACCTAATTAATCTTTCTTTTTTCATGATTGTTGTTGCTGCTTTTTTTCAGTTTTTTGCTCTATTTTCATGACTAATTGCTGTAATTTGTTTTGCTGTTTTTATTCTTACAAAACATTTTTGTAAGAGTTCCAATACTTGTGGATCATCCACACACTTTGCAAACATTTGGCATGCAGACAAGACAGAGGTAGTCAATGTTCCCTTTGAGAAAAAACACCTTTTAAATGACGTCTTCAATTTACTTTATTTGAAACTCTGATCTGAAAATATTTGTCCACAAGACTTGTTAGTAGTGAGAAGTACCAACCAAGTTTCCTTTCATAACTTAATTTCTTAAATGTCCCAATCACTGGATCTCCCAAAAAAATATTACATCTTTTTATTTTTGGTGCAAATTAAAAGTCCTTCTTTATATAAAAATGAAAAGTGCTAGTCACACTTCAATAATAACAGCTCTTAAGTTTACTTGTTGTTCTTCTCTGTCTGTCAGCTATCAACAAAATTGTTTTCTACTTCGGGCAGTGCATAACTATTTGTGGACCAGAGTTCCAACGTACCTCTGTAATCGCATATAGCTACTCCTGTCTCTTGTACAAATGTTTCTCCTTTGTAAGACGCACTCTACTCTGTTATCAATACAGCTTTAAGTTCAGTGGAAACGACTGACTGAGGAATCGAGATGGCGGTGTTGGAACGTGTTGCTGAACGCTTGTTACGGTCAAGCTTTGTAGATTTAGGTACTGGTACACTGGGATCATCTATGTATCTCTTACACTTCCGAATGTGGTATCCTTCTTTTATAAATATGAGGGTAAAAGACGATTTGTAGTCGCATTCAAAACTGTGATTGGCTTGTGTTATTTCTCACCTTTGCCATTAACACAACTCAAGAGAGTTTCGAGTCTTTGTTTCCTCGACAACTTTCGGCCACAAATCGTGCATTTGTAATACGATCGATTCTTGTCGATTATTTCTACATAGAGTGAGCTCACATCTTTATTTATATCACCAAGCTATCCATCTTCTAGAAGCAGAGAACCGGTTGGAGAAGTCAGAATAAAGTTAGGCGCTTCTCCTAACACTGCAATCGGCAAGCCAGCGGATTCACTTTGCTAGCCAATGACAAGTCCTAAAAGATCCACGTGATCATGCCCGTGATCGGAAACAAAGAAGACTCCATTTGGCGCTCATCTTTGAATGTACTTTTCATCGGTTGATCGCTTTTCTCAATTGTTTTGCTTAATATAACATTTCTAAAGATAGCTTTTATTGTGGTTCAATGGGAAAACGAGAATAGCGTGAGTGTTGTAAAAGAGAAGAAAGTCGTTGGCGCCGTGGAGTTAAAAGAAGGGACAACAGTTGACATATGGACCGGTACAAACAAGGGTCGAGTGGCCATCTGTAAAGCTACGATTTTGAAAGTTTGTGGTGAGTAAAAATTGCGATATTCGTTGTGATCAAAATCTTATAAAAGAATAGATGTAGCGGGTTGAATTAAGCTTACATAACGCTCGGCGCAACTGAAACTAGAATAATTCTGAGAATCGAATCGGTCACTTGCATGCCGCAGTTTCTTAAGCTTATGCTTTACAATGAAATAAACCTATCAGTAAGGTTTCAAGATTCCTCTAGTCACGTTTGGGAACATTCAAGATTCATAACAAACCTTAGTACATAAAGAAGCCCTCCTTGGTAAAAACAAAATAATGTATTCAGCCCTTTTTTAGTAAAATCCATGAGAGAGATGTACTAACTCCAATATAAAAGTCACTCAATATAACAGAGATTTCTCAATTTGAGAATCCAATGAATGCCCTTTTCCTCATAGCCATCTTAAAAGCCTGGTCTGAGCTTTAAACATACATATTTTAATATATTATTTTTTTTCAAATTCAGATGTCAAGGAATCCAGATACAAAATGGTCAAGGTTCTTGTTGACAACCTCATTCAAGGCCAACTCATTGTGATCCCAGGAAAAAAAATACAAACAGTACAAACAGCAGCTAAGTTTGCAGTTTAGGATAACTTCATTCTAATTTATTGTTACAGTTACAACAAGATTTTAATCAAAAAATCAATTTTATTTGTCTGTAATTAGCCCCTTCACTCCCAAGAATATAACTATATAAATATAACTTAAGATATTGTTTTTTATGGAAAAGAATCAACAGATTTTATTCACAATTTGTGTCAAACCAAATTTAATGATTGATTAGAACTATTTTATATGAATAGCTGTAATTGAGGATTAATCCGTATGAAGTTTTCAAGAAAAGAAAAATAAATCAAATTCCATCCTAATATTACCACACATTGATGTTAATAATTAATCAAAAATATTTTACATGTAAGCCTTAATTAAGCTTCTAAATAAATTTCATTGAATACTTGAATTTTAGCTGGATTTTTTTAATTTAAAATATTTATTTTATATCATTAGCCTCAAATTTTTGCTTAAAATTCCCAGTAATTCTTAAACATTCCTAAAAATTCCCAAAAATTCCCAGAAATTCCCAGAAATTCCCAGAAATTCCTAGGAATTTTTTAGATTTACAGCTTTTCAGGGAAAGTCATTGGTTCTCTGAGTTGGAATTCCTAGGAATTCCTAGGAATTCCAAGTCCTGTTGGCTATAAACTTGGAATTTCTGGGAATTTCTGGGAATTTCTGGGAATTTCTGGGAATTTCTAGGAATTTCTAGGTTTTTAGAACCAGAGTTGCTATGGTTGGGAATTCCTAGGAATTCCTAGGAATTCCCAGTCCGAATTTACCGTGAAAATTCACACCTTTATTCCTAGGAATTCCTAGGAATTCCTAGGAATTCCTAGGAATAAATTCCTAGGAATTCCTAGGATTTTCCTAGGAATTCCTAGGAATTCCAAAAGCCATTTCGCAAGGGATATTGGGTTATCATAATGAGTTACCATGTCAACTTCACACACCATCGTATATTGACTGAATGCTCTCTATTAATCAAAGTTTTCATAGCATGTCTAATGTTTAATAATGGAGTTTGTCTGTAAAGATAAACCGTCCAAACTTTTACTTGGACGTCTTTGTTTGTTTATATGGTGTTGTAAATTTTAAGATTTAAATTGCAAATCCAAGTTAAAGTATTCCTCTTTCTAAAACACTGGTTGAAAGCTAGGGTATTGATATAAATTGAATGCTGAGTGGAAACATCTGTCATTTGAACTTTTCAAGCAACTGCTCAGGCACGATATTCACTCTGACATAAAAATTAGAATCTTACATGTTCTGTCTTCAAAAATGTGTGTATTGTCAGCACCTTTCATCCCATTACTAATAAATTTGTGCTATCAAATTAAATTCTGTGACTATGCTTCATATTCCTCTGTGCATGTTGATGAGTTGTAAGCACTGGAGCTTAGCAGATGAAGTTTTCTTTCAAATAAAATTTTAACTTCCTCTTGTGAAAATGTTTTAAAAAATAGGTTTATGTGTCAACAGTTTTTTCATCCAGATGTGAAGCCCTTCAGGAGTTTGATGAGTGCTAAAGAGGCTTCTTTTAGTGATATCTTGAGCACCTCTTAAGAATCTTTTGTACCCTTCAAACTTCCTGTATGCTTAATGTCTTGATGAATGCAAACCCTTGCATACACCTTGATCTTAAGATTGAATGAAACATAATTCACAATTCTATCAATACCTAACATGATTGAGTATGTTGGCATACAATTATACTTTTGTCTTTGGGAACATCAACTTATCAAGTTCTATAAAAATCAAAACAACAGACATAATTCATCCAGCATTTAATTTGGCAAAGAATTTACAAAAAAAAAAGGAAACCACTACATCACTTCTTCTTCTTTGATGGCAACAATATACCGTCATGCTAAAAAAACAAAACAAAACAAACCAATATTAACATAGAAGTATAACAAAATAAGCTGTGTAGAGCTGGCGAGAGAGGAGAGGGATGGTGGTAACAAATGATCTTGTAAACTGTCCAAGGGAGGGGAAGTCCTAAAAAGGACTGAAATCTATGATAGTCACTTAAGTTTTGACTGTGTGCATTAGAATAATCAATAGCTCATCAGAGACAAAGCGAAGTTGTTTATCAGTCAAATATTACATGTTGTGATTGCAAAAACTGATCTGTTAGTTTTGCTATGAGGTCATTTACTGCAAGACTCAAGTCTTGATTTTTTTCAGCCTGTCCATTTTGTCCAGTTCTTTGAATGTATTAATGCTGTGAAGAAGTCATTTGAAGGGTGCTGCTTGTTGTAAAAATTTGTTGGTATGAGTCTGTTATCAAAAGTGAGTAAACCAGCTTTAGCAAGTTAGCTACTGAAAAATAGTAATAATAAGATTCGCAGCTGTATGAGTATTTTCAAACTGTTACCAATTTGGCTCAGCTCCCCAAAAAGTTTCTGAAATCTCTGCATTTGATTTTTAAACAAACTGATTAAGAAATGACAGCCTAGGGATATGAATTTTCCCTTGAAAATTGAAATTTGTCTAGTGCCTGGCGAATAACGAAGCTGTGCGGTTTGTAATTGTTGCAGTATGAATTTTTTACTTTATTTATCGAACGTTACGCCTCCAGCAAAGTCGTAATAAGGTGAATAACAATCGCCGACTTTGTCGAGACGTCATACAGTTGTGCTTAATAATACCGTGCATCAGTCGGGGAAACCAACTTTACCGACTGATGGCAACATACTTGTAAAATTGTACTGAACTTGTAACTTGTAAAAAACCAATCTCTTCCCTTAGAAGCCGAAGATACAGTTTAAAATTAAATAGCAAAATTGAATAGCAAAATTTACATAGAAAGGTGGTTCTTTTCTTTATTCATCTGATCTAGTCGTAACTGAGGACTGTCGTTCGCCATTACGCTCACATTGATGACGTAGAGAGTAGAAAAACGAGAAAGGCCCAGGAACGAGTTAATCTCGAGCTCATAGTTATCGGCTCCTTTCCAGCGGTGTGAGAAGCTGAATGAGGCAGACACCGGCAGGGGCACAATCTTTCTCTGGGGTATTCGCAGGCGGGATATTTTAGCTAACTTGGGGACCCCAGGTAGGTGAGGTAACCCGCCTAGCCGTGGTCGAAAAATAGCCCGCGTTTAACATACAATCTTACAAACCTGAGATGCCGGACTGAAGTTTCTTTAGGTTGTTGTCGCACTTGCAATTTCCTTGAGACGTTCACATAGCACATTGCCACCCCGGCTGGCAGGGTTACCCTACCAGGCAGATCGGGCAATCCGCCCTGGGGGGTTACCCCATCTATCATGTAAACGTGATCAAGATAAAATAAGAGATTTTATGGACGGGCGGGTTACACCACCAAGGCGGGTTACCTCACCTACCTGGTGTCCTCCAGCTCCAAGTAAACAGACTACAGTTCAATAGAACGAGAATGGCGCTTTCACATGGAAAGATACTTTTAGGGCGCTTCGTGCTTATTTTCCTGCTGGCTACACAGATGTTTTTCTTTGCCTGTTTGGGTATATTCTTTTCTGTTTTAATGGGCCATTGGACTCTCGAAGGAATCTTGTTATCCCTCTTGATCTTTAGTATCTTTATAATGAGCTTAATCGGGTTTGCGTCACTTTCCTTTACTTGGATAATTGGAAAACGGCAGTATTACTCTTACACTTGGTTTGTGTATACTTTTGTGTTGATAATAAACATCGCATTAGTTGCTCAGTATCTACTAGTCGTCGATGGAGAGCAAGATAACCCATTTGGGCCAACGGTTTTTGTCAAAGTTCTTTGTATCACACCATTTATTTTGCTGTTCTTTTTGAACACTGCTGGCGAAGGAGGTACCGAATTTCACGGGGAATCTGAATGGTTGTTTGCCACAATGACTGCACATATATTCGACGCTGTTGACATGATAGACAATGTTTTGAACGGTTATGGTAATGGGAAACCTACAAGACTTGGAGCAGGGATGATCGGCCTTGCTTCTGGATGTCTGTTGCTTGCAGCGTGGGAGTTTCTAGAACGAGCGCATCACTCACCCGGAAGCAAGAACGGAGCGAAGGTTTATCGGCTTATCGGGTTGATTCTCGTTAACCTGGCAACTTTGATAATTCGAGCAGTGGTTTATGTTGATCATGGTTGGAGGGAAACGACGTCCATCGCCAAGAATATAATCATGATATGTACATCAGTTCCGGAATTACTCCGTCGCATCGGTCAGACTTCTCTATAAACATATCTGGATGAGATACAACTGGCCGGGCCCGGCTAAATCAGATAATTTGGTTCTATCATTCGCTCTGACGAAGCTCTAGCGTCAGCTCTAGAAACTTTTTATGGTGGCCAATTTACTTTATCAACTTAGTGGAAAAAACTAAATTATCTTGTTCTACCCCTCACCGACGCAGCACTAGAGTTCCTTTAGAAAGTTACTACCTTTATTCGTAGGGCTTAAATCAGCTCCCCTGAGCCACACCGATGAGGAAATATTTTGGCAAACGGTGATCTTAAATGAGGGCTTCCTCGATGAAAAGCCGTCTATTGCTAACTACTAGTGGAGGCTGAGAATTTCATGAATACTCAATGCCGAAGTCGTCGTTATTTCCCGAGGCAGATAACACAATCGCGAGGTTTGATATCATGCGAAGACCGAATTCAATAATTGTTTTAATTATACATTCTTTAAACAATCTGCAAAAGAAGACACTCTCTTAGAGTTTGCTAAAGTTTAAGAACAGCACTACACGAGCGAGGGGCTTGGAAACTTGGCAGCCTTTGAACTCGATATCTGTAGCAGATATTGGATTATTATAATGGGTTATCATGTCAACTTCACACTCCATTGTATGTTGACTGAATACTCTCTTATCTCTCTTATCAGAGGTTTCATTGTAAGTCTAGTGTATAATAATGGAGTTTGTCTAAAGATAAACCGTCCAAATTTTATTTGGACGTCTTTGTTTGTTTAGTTGGTGTTGTAAATTTTAAGATTTTAATTGCAAATCCAAGTTGAAGTATTCCTTTTCTAAAACATTGGTTGAAAAGCTAGGGTATTGATATGAATTGAATACTGAGTGGAAACATCTGTCATTTGAACTTTTCAAGCAACTGTTCAGGCATGATATTCACTCTGACATAAAAATAATATGTTCTGTCTTCTAAAATGTGTGTATTGTTAGCACCTTTCATCCCATAGCTAGTAAATTTGTGCTATCAAATTCAATTCTGTAAATATGTTTCATATTCCACTGTGCATGTTGATGAGTTGTAAGCACTGGAGCATAGCAGATGAAGTTTTCTTTCAAATAAAATTTTAACTTCCTCTTGTGAAAATGTTTTAAAAAATAGGTTTATGTGTCGACTGTTTTTTCATCCAGATGTGAAGCCCTTCAGGAGTTTGATGAGTGCTGAAGAGGCTTCTTTTAGTGATATCTTGAGCACCTCTTAGGAATCTTTTGTACTCCTCAAACTTCCTGTATGCTTAATGTCTTGATGAATGCAAACCCTTGGATATACCAACTCTTGATCTTAAGATTGAATGAAACATAATTCACAATTCTATCAATACCTCACATGATTGAGTATGTTGGCATACAATTATACTTTTGTCTTTGAGAACATCAACTTATCAAGTTCTGTAAAAATCAAAACAACAGACATAATTCATCCAGCATTTAATTGGGCAGATTTGAAGGCAAAGAATTTACAAAAAAAAGGAAACCACTACATCACTTCTTCTTCTTTGATGGCAACAATATACCGTCATACTAAAAAAACAAAACAAAACAAACCAATATTAACATAGAAGTATAACAAAATAAGCTGTGTAGAGCTGGCAAGAGAGGGGAGGGATGGTGGTAACAAATGATCTTGTAAATTGTCCAGGGGAGGGGAAGTCCTAAAAAGGACTGAAATTTATGATAGTCACTTAAGTTTTGACTGTAAGAATTAGAATAATCAACAGCTCATCAGAGACAAAGTGAAGTTGTTGATCAGTCAAACATTACACGTTGTGATTGCAAAAACTGATCGATTAGTTTTGCTGTGAGGTCGTTTACTGCAAGATTCGAGTCTTGATTATTTCCAGTCTGTTCATTTTGTCCAGTTCTTTGGATGTATTAATGCAGTGAAGAAGTCATTTGAAGAGTGCTGCTAGTTATAAAAATCTGTATCAGTCTGTTATCAAAAGAGAGTAAACCACATTTGGAAAGTCAGCCACTGAAAAGCAGTAATAATAAGAGTCACAGCTGTATGAGTATTTTCCAACTGTTGCCAATTTGGCTCAGCTCCCCAAAGTAAAAGGGGGGTTAACAGGCTGGCCCAGTTCAGCTTTAAGCCGGTTTTAATAGGGCCTACCTCCCTTAATTGACTGATGTCTAATTTCTCTGGACAGTATCACCTCTGTATCAAACATAAAATCATGGCAATAAAGGAAATGATCACAAATTAATGAGACACTTGATTGTTTGACAAATTCTCCTTTTCAATACCAAAGGCAATGTGTAGAGAAAAGAGTGAAGAATATGCATAGTGACGTTAAAGTATAAGGGTTTCCAGGCCTTACCTTCTGTTGGAACCACTTCATGGATTCATCCTTTGATATCAGATGCTTGTAGCCAATTCTGGATTGCTTCCTTTTTCGTTCAGCAACACTGAAACCAGGACGTCCCAGCACTACGTAGAAATCCATGCCATAAATCCCAATACTGGGGTCATATTTAATTCCAAGATCAATATGTTCTTGGATTCCAAAACCAAAGTTTCCAGTTTTAGAGAAGTTATCCTTTGAAAGCTCATATTCACGAACCTATTGAAACAAAAAACAAAAACCACTTAGTTCCAGTCTGCCTTTGTTAAATCTAAGCCTGGTCATACATTAGTACAAGTTGAGCTTTAACCCTTTAACTCCCAGCAATGATCAATATGCAATTTCTCCCAATAATATCCATACATTATCCAGCAAACAGGTCATGAGAATACTCAAACTTTTCAGGTAGAAGTTGTCTTCTAGATATAACAGCAAATTCTCATAACTACTTTACAAGGAAATGTGTAGCAGCTAGAGGGGAGAATTAACAATCAGATCTTAAGAGTTAAATGGTTAACTGCTTTCTGTAGCATGATCTGACCAGCTATGCGTATTACCACTGCCCTTTGGATATGATACTAGTCTCTAGGAGTAACTGGCATCTAATTTCTCCTTCAAGTATCATACTTGAATCATATGTAAAGCTCATAACAATAAAGGAAAATTAATGATGACCAATCAAAGAGGCTCTTGATTGTCAAACAAATTCTCCCTGTGAAGACAATAGGAAATGTGAAGAAGACAGTGTGGAGAATATGAATACCAATGTAAAAGGTGTGAAGGTTTAAGGTAGCCCTTCACCTTTCTTTTAGGTTTCCATGACAGTTTGCCAGTACTCATTTAAACCCCTGGGTGGAGAGAGGTGTTATAAAAGCAAATAAAATGTCCACAAACACCACAAAGACCCAGCCAGGGTTGCCCTAGTCTTATCCACCATGAGTCCACAAGGCTAAATGTCTTGTTATTTAACATCAGATTGTTCCTACCAGTGAACTCTACCTCTGTTGTAAATGTTTTTATATCATCTCTCATTTAGTATGTACACTATGATTAGTCAATTCAGTGGGCTGTTTTCTTTCTTTTCTTTTTTTTTTTTTTTTTTTTTTTTGAGTTATAGATTCAAGCAGGAAAAACTTGGTCTATAACTTACAGTATGGACCTTGGTTAGCAAGAGAAGGAATTGTATATTTGAACTACACACACCCTCAATCATCATCCATGCAAAAATACCTTGATTAGCATCAAATTTCCTGAAGCATACATTAAAGATATCAGAAAAGGACTCAGATTCTACATATTTTGAGAGCCTATGTTTACCTTCAAACCCTTCTCTAGGATTTCTTCAGCTTTGGCACCTCGCACAGTGCAGTGTACAGCAATCTTCTCATTACGACGAATGCCAAATGAACGCACAGTGTAGCGGGCTATGAAGAAAATCAGGCTTTTTAAAAAATCATACAGAGAAACTTTATGGCATGGAAACAACTTCTGTGTTTAACTAACATTTGATCAATTGTTCCTGTGAAAAGGCAGCAACAAACACATGTTACTTGTGATCCCTTTGCGGCAACTAAGGTGTAGTAAACATTGATGATAGATGAAAAGTGCTTTTTTATGAACCAATTCACTTTGATAAAGCCCTCAAGAACTTGTTACACTAAAAGTATGTTGTAACGGAAGGAATGCTTTCAGATAGACTGTTGTAAAAGGAAAAATGGGTAACTACAGTAACCAATAAGAAGAAAAGTAACTATCTCAAGGAGACATGTAGACACACATAAACAGTCTAAAAAAAGCGAAAGCATGATTTGGCGTAATAATGGTTTGCATCTAATTGGTTAAGAGAGAGTAAAAGGCACACATTTCCTTCACAAAGCATAGAGTGAAGCAAAGCTTAAACTGTGAAGAGTGAAGAATGAATAGTAGAAAGAAGGTAGAGTAAAGCAGAGGAGAGTGAAGCTAGGCAAAGAAACCAACAAATAGAATGCTTTTCAATTGGGTGATGTAAAAGCAAACTCAAAGTACATAAAACAGCCAATCATAGGAAGGAAAATATCACAAGTAGCCAATGAGAACTCAAAGTAAAATCAAGCAAACTGTCTAAAGGGCAGGGAAAGTGAGTTACCAAGCCACCATTGATTGGTTGAGAAAGTGACGTGAGTTTCCTGGACCAATCACATGACAAAACAATGCAAAAAAACAAAGCTATCCTGAAGTACTTTCCATGCTCAATTGAAAATTGATCTAAACAACAGAATAATCCAACATCACAATTAACACCACACAAAAAATTACTAAATCACAATGAGAAAAATAAATTACCTTTAGAATAAACTGGCTGCTGCCCAGTCAGCTGTTCAAGAACCTTTGCAGCTCTTGTCAGACGATCACCACTTTCACCAACACAGATGTTTAAGCACAGCTTACGGATACGGAGGTCTCGCATGACATTTTGCTTCTGGGAATTTTCCCCCGACTGAGTAAAAATAAGATAATAACATCAACTACTGCAAGTCTTTGTTGTAATGATTTTGGTGCTGTGTAGAATCTTTCTACAAGAAATTGTGGAAAGTTTAGACTAGAAAAGGTTTAACTTTGCATCTTGATTTTCTTCATAAAGATTCATTCACATTTCCATGTCAATTAGTTTCAAGAATTAAGTGTTAGATCAAGATGACCACTTCTACCTGATGAGTTTCAGTATTCTCATTACTTGTTTACTGAATAATGTATGGATATGGTAGGAAGAAGTTACATGTTAATCACATCTGAGAGTTAAGAGTTTAAATAAACAGCAACAACTGGTACAGGATTTTCTCAAAATATGAGTAAATATGTACAACACAAATTGACTAAGCCATCAGCACATGGCTCACATAAGGCTGTGAATTTTCTTTGGATCAATTATGCTGAGAAGGTTCTTGGCAGAGGAATGCAATTGTTGACTTAAAAATTTATTTGACAAAGTTGATGACCAAAAAAAGCACAAATCCATGATGAAATAAACTTAACCTGGATCATGTTGTTTTGAAAGTATAAAAAGTAAACGAATTTAAATGAATAGAGCAGATTAACAGCCTCAGTGAACTCTTGCTTCTCTGATTCACTCGGGGAAATTAAGAAAAGCATTTAACAATCGGTAATCAAAGTCATTAATTAATCTTTGTTCTTCGTTTAAATTGGACTTGTACAAACCAAAAAATCATTACTGGATCTGTGAGAAAAAATGCCTTATTTGATCTACGTAAGATCGCCCGCAAAATTGACCAAAGATTCGAAATGAACCACGCAGCATAACTGCATGCCTGTGTCTAAACTCCAATGTCGGCGGGCTTGTTTCGATTGGCTGCTTATAGCTAAAACAGTTCCTTCTTTAAAAAGGAATCAAGGAATAAACCGCGACGAATTGTACTTTTTATGCATATTCAATAGTGTTTAGAGTTAATGTTAGAAAATAAGTGACCTATAAAGAAGCAAAAAGGATTTAAATAGCACCACAATCCAGTCTAAAAACACCGACAGGCTTGGCTCAAGAGGGTAAATTCAACAAATTTAATCAGTACCGATTTATCACGAAGATCACGATATATCAACTGAAAAATGCTTTAAGCCATATCTGGAAGGTTAAAGGAAGCACCAGATACAAGAAATATAGCAGGATCGGATGGAGGAAACTGAATTCAAAGGGGCGAAATATACTTTAATTTGGCCACGTGAATTTTGAGACCTACCGCCATATTGCCCAGAATAAAAGAGGGCGCTTAAGGCATCACGGGAAATGACGTAAACTCCAAGTAACGCCTGGCGATAATTGACTTCTGGCATCTCTCTCTAGTCCTAGCCCTGGCTCAAGAGAGAAATGTTTGAAAGATTGTGCTTTCAAAGAAACAAACAAACAAAAAAAGTAACAAAAAAAGAAAAAAAGAAAGAAAAGGGAAAAACAAGCTCGCACGGGGCTGTAACCTCATTTTTTTCCTGAAATGGTGCCAAAAGTAAGGCTATTTTATTTTTCAAATAAGAAAGTTTTATTGTAAGGAAATTTGGTCGTCACTACGGGCGTTTGTCACCGCTTCTATCTTCAGGCAAAAATGCAAAAATCTTGCTCAGATTAATGAATTCCTCTCTCGTAAGATCTCTAAGGTTCTACGGTTAATGGGCAAGGTTATAAACTTTTAAGAAATTGGTACAATTCTGCAGCTAACAAGTGAAACACTTACAAAATGGAGAGCCTTGATAAATTGTGACATAAAACTGGATTCGAACTCTGATCGCTTTTTGTCATGTGTTAGTCGCTGCAGTTTTTAAGTCACAGTTCCAATTTTTAACCAAATATTACTTTTTCTATTTGGCTGATATGCTTTTCCAGATGTAAGCCCACCTAAAATTCCTCACGACACACGTTTGACAATCCCAAGGCTTATTCATAACCTTCTATTTTTGGCACTCGGTCGGCAAAAACGAGCGAAGTGGCGGGGCAAATTTCAATACAGCCGTTTTCTAGGTTTCTCTCTTTTTCGATGTGTTTCAGAGACGAGGCTAATAAACCACACGTAAGATTTACTCTAGTACAAAAGTGAACATAATTATCTCAGAGTACTTTACTTTATTTCTCATAATCCATCTGTACATTACGAATAAATGTAACTCAATCTGATGGGCACCTTCTGCCCTTTGAACATGGACAATTCTGGAGGACAAGAGAACTTGTTCAAGTACGTAAACTTCGAGAGTCTCAGTCCTCAAGCTTCAAGTAGAATGTGTTTTTTGAAAGAAATAAGTGATAATTTCTTATTTCCTTTTACATTTAGAGGGCATTTCAATTGAGTGTCACAAAACGAAAAAACGAGAGCAACGGCTAACGAGAGCAGTGGAAATTTTCACAGGCAGCCCTTGAGAACCCTAAATAGAAACACGCAAACTAACAAGACGCCATTTTACATTAAATGGGAAGATGAAGCGGGTTTCTCGAACAAACCAAGTCCGTATTGAAGCAGACCAGAGCTATCCCAAAACACTTTTGACACTGAATTAACCAACTACGCTGACACTTATCCGCCATCTACTATGCCTTGTTTTGGGCGCAAAAAGCGATGGTTTGGAGTAAAAAACCCCCTTGGAAACCCACAAGTCGCTACCAGGCCAATCTTCGCGTTGACAAAGTGGGAGTGCCTAGAAGCAGGTCGTTATTCAAACTTTCTACGGTGACAGATTTACGTTATTAACACAGTTGATAGTACTACATTACCCCTTTATGAGATAGCAGTTGAACTCTTTCATTCCCAAGAGTGACCAAAGAGAATTTTCTCCTTACAGTGCCAATACATTTTCATCAGAAAGGCAATGAGAAGATAGAAAAATACCAGTCAAGGAATGTTGCTTGATTTGATACCAAATTCACTATGCTAAAATTATAAGAAAGATATGCAAACAGTGTAGAGAATTTATATTTTGACCTTGGGAGTGAAAGGGTTTTATTACTTAATATAAAGCTCTATGTTGTTGAAGTTGGTTAGAACGACTTGCTAGTGTAATATATGATATTGTATTTGAAACGAAACAGCTATTAAAAAAATTTTGTATTGTTGAGGCTGGTTGACTATTGATTATTTTCTTGACCCACTCGCATGAGCAGCCGCGCCTTGTTGGAACTGACGCATCATGGACTGGAGGCCCTGGGTTCCGCCTGAAAATGAAATCAAACTGTCAGCGAAAACAACAAAAGCGAAATTTATCATACACTTATAAAAGGGGTAGCGTGATCTTAGACCTATCATCCGGTAAATATCTGCGAAAGCAGAATTTGGCAACCGTCGGGCTCAATAAAATGCTTCGTTTTCCTGTGTGTATCACCGCCATTTGTGCCTTATTTTTGACAAAGCTAAAACGGCGTAATTGTCGGCGTAACTGTAATGTAACTGGAGAAAAGAGTTTCACTGCAAAAGAAATGTCTTCATACAAAGAAATTTGTTGAAAAATTCTGGTTGATCGCACTGAACACGCACCCATTTGTTGGAGGACCCTGGGGTCCATCATCTTGGCCATCTGTTGATTGAGTTTGGCCATCTGCGACGGATTCACATTTTTACTCATGTCGCCTCCTGAAATGTATAAAAATAAAAAATAAAAAAAAAATTATAAAAAAAAATAGAATGGGCAAGAGGGTGAGAAGACATCCGCTTCTGTTACAAGAAAGTCATTTTTGTTTGCCCTTTGGCTTACCTCAAGTATGTACTCTTGTGAGTTCACGAAAAAATATGCACAATGGTTTTTGATCACGGGTACCAATCAGAACAGAGGAAATATCACAAGGAGCCAATCAGAACTCAAAGGAACCGAAGTGAACTCTTTCAAGGGTGGGAAAACGCGCAAATCACAAAATTGATAAAGTAAAGCAGTTAATTTTCGTAAAAAAGGCGAAGTTACCTTTAAATAAGCCCTTTATTCCACCCATTTTCTTCACCATTGCAGCAAATTTGGTGTACTGTGACAAGAGCTCTTGCACCTCTCGGACAGACACGCCGCTGCCACGTGCTACCCGCGTGGAACGCCCCGGTTGGCGGGAAAACAGCTTTGCGCCATTGGGACTATCAAGTTCTGAAAATGAAAAGAGTCGTTGTGTTTTAGCACGAAAATTAAAAGTTTCTGTAAATAAACCTTCTTCTTATTCAGCACTGCATTGTACAACCCTACTGAATACTATAGCACGCGCAGTTTAAAACTGTAGCTTTTCTGTGTGAGGCCAAACCTTCCTAGCATAGTAAGAGGTCTATGACTTTTTTAATTTTATTGTTTAGAAGTAACTTCCTCTGAGGTCGTTCATAGTCATTCTACGGGATGTCACGCAAGAAGCGATGCATGACACCCCTACGAAGACTACCTTTCCTCAGGCAAAATAAATACAGAGCCATGCCCCTGGCGGAATAAGAAACGATCCCCTAGAACTCGAACATAGCAGTAACAGACATTTTACCTTCATCATTCATGCTGTCCATAATGGTCATTAGCTTTTTTAATCTCGCCATTGACTCCTGTTCATTTCCTTTTGATAAGAAGTCACTACTGAACCCAGGTATCATACCCTAAAAAAACAACAACAAAGAAACAAAAAATTACCAGAAACATTTCAGTAATTGCACAAGTTAAATTTAAAAGAAGAGTCAGATTTAATTTCATTGGTGTTAACCCTTTAACTCCCACGATCTCATTAGTAATTCTCCTTACTGTCTGCCATACAATTCTTCTGATGTTACTCCTGAGAATTTAGTATTGGATCAACTAATAATCCCCTAATTGATACTTTTCTAATGCTTCTCATCACTTGTCTTCTTGATTTTGTATTGATATTGTAAGGAGAAATTCTTTCTTGGTCACTCATGGGAGTTAAAGCCAGGTTAACAACTAAAACAGCTTGAGCACTGTCTCCTTTGCTCTCTTGTTTCAAACGGCTGTTTCAAGAATGGGGCCATAATTAAGAATATCGGAAAGCTGCTTACCATGATTTGGCCAAATGGCCCCATCTTCATGATGTTCTGGAACTGTTCATACATATCTCGTAAACTGAAAACACCTACATAAATAATAGATTAGGCCACATGAATTGCCACTTACATTAATTTTATTACTATGACCAGTAGATCATTGCCTTTAAAAACCTAGTAAATAGATATTTCACTACTATCTGTTTAGGAGTTCTCACCATGTTTGAGCTTGTCGATAAGTTCCTCATTGTCTTCAAGCTTCAATTCGTTGACTTTATCAATCAGTCCTTCGATGTCTCCCATTCCTAAAGAAGACACAAGAAGACAGCACTTAGTTCGGATTACAGGGTAATTTAGTATGATCAACTCAGTTGATGGCGTAAATTGGCCACTGTTAAAGAGTCTTAAAGCTGATGTTTCAAGCTTAAGCTCTTTGTTAATTCACATTAGTCTACCTTTGAATAAACACAGAGTTGTTACTTGACCCTTCCATCCCTAAATGACCAGCATCTAATTTCTCCTTACAATATCAACCCTGAATCACACATTAAGGTCGCAAGAATGAAGAAAATGATCACCAACTGAAGAAGCTCTGGATTGTTAAAAAAATTCCCCTTATCAGCACCTTCAGAAATTTATAGAGAACTGTAAGGAGAATATGCATACTGATGTTTAGGTTGTAAAGTGTAAGAGTAAATGACAAAGCACTGGGTTTTTATAGAATTTCAACCCAATGTATTGTGTACCAACTGATATTAATAGTAGATTAATCTGTATTGAAACCTACCCAACAGTTTACTGATAAATGGTCTTGTCTTAAATGGTTCAAAATCATCAATATGTTCCCCAGTACCGATAAAAATGATGGGACTCTTGGTGGCAGCCACTCTGTCATGACAAAAAAACTACAATTTATATCGAACAAAACTGAGTGGAGTGCTGGGAGAAAAATATGTGGCAATGTGAATTTTAAGACAATTTATGGTGATTTTTACAAAAGTAGAACATAAGATAGTCCTGAAAAAGATTGATAGTAGTATTTACAAATTGCAGTGACTGATGTTCTGACAAACAGACCAAAGGTCATCACAAGAGTCATGGCTGAGTCACAGTCAGAAGTGTTTTTTTTTTAAAGTTTAGTTAATATTAGTAACAAATCAAGCAAATAAATGATCCTCACAGGTGGACTTCCAGAGAGGAGGCACCAATTTGAATCCTGTAATTTAAGCCTGAATTTTTTCAGACTTCTTTCCTGCAACTACAAAAGATTCATGCCACTTGCAAGGATCATTTCTCTGCTTGATTTTCATCCATAGGTCAAATGGCATTTAATTCATTACAAGGTGTTATTGGTAACAAAGGGAAAAAATTTAGTTGCAGACTGGAAAAAAAAACCTTTGACTCAAGACAAGAAGTGAAGGTAACACCTTAATTTCCAAAAAGACAGACTGGTAATACTTACGCACTCAATGCACCACCACCTTTTGCATGGCCATCCAACTTAGTAACAATAACTGAAGCAACATCGACTTTCTCTTTGAATGCCTTTGCCTAAAAAAGTAAATAACACAGAAATTAAAGTAAACCACCTTTGAGGCTTGCAGCAATATATGCTAAAAGAAATTCTAATGAATGAGGATAAAACATAACTAGAGGCTGATTCATCATATTTACCTGTGCCTCACAAGCCTGTCCAATCGTGGCATCCATTACAAATATAACATTGTCTGGGTCCTGTGTGGGACAAAAAATAAAAAAAGAAAAGTCAATATGTTTGTTGTACAAATCCTTACTGTCCAAATACAGCAATTTGTTCTGAAGACAAGCACAATGAAGTAAGCACTTACAACAGCATTAGACACTTGCAGCATTTCCTCGAACAGTGATTCTTCTTGTTTGTGTCTTCCACTAGAGAAGAAAACGTCAAATTGAATGTGAATTGACTAATCATCACACATAGACTTCAGATCCTTAAGAGTAGCAGTAAATTAAAGGGTGCATGTAGAACATATGCATTGTAAAGGCAAAACATCAAATGCGATGTAAGCAAAAAGCATAGTCAGGGTTTTCAGTAAGTGCTGGCAACTTGCAACATTTGCAGTCTATTTCTGATCAGAGGTTCTTCCTATTCACAATGATTAAGATATTAACCCAGATTTTACTATTACAGCTGATGAAGCTTTTGGTCCAAGAATAAGTTGGAGCTTTAAATCTGCCACAATTTATTCTTGATAACAAAAGAGACTTGCCAGAATTCTGAGAAAATCACCTCTAAGATCTGAGACTCTGGGAATGAGGTTGATCCAGGAGTAATTTCAGTAGCTATCAATTTTCTTTGTTTTTGTTCTTTGTTTGAAAATTTTGTGTTTAGCAGCCTTTTATTTACACTGATAATTCTTCTCTGCCTGCTCCTAAACCTCTTCATCCAACTCTCATCCTTTTTAAAAACTCTTATACTGTTAGCTGAATTTTGTCCATAGTACTGCTATCTCTCTGATGATACCATAATCTCTTTCTCTTTTTTAAGCCCTTTACATCCTAACATCAGGATGCATATTCTCCATACTACTCTCTAGACATTTCCTAAGGTTTTGACAAGGAGAATTTGTTCAACAATCAAGAGCTTCTTAAGATGATGATCATTTCCTTTATTCTCATGACCTTAATGTTTGATTCAGGAGTAATGCTGTAAGGAGAAATTACATGTTAGTCACTCTTAGAGGTTTAGGGTTAAAACTACACTCACCTTGTATCTACAATGATTATCTCAAAGTTCTCTTGTTTAAATTTATCAACACCTTCTTGAGCAATAACAACAGGGTCCATTTCTGTGTAACTAGAAGAAAACAAAAAATGATCATGGTTACCGTAATATTGGAATTCATTGTGGACGATAAATATTTATTGAGAGCTACCTTCAGTACATTTTATACAACTTGGCTGTTCTTACCTCCCATAAAATGGTATTCTTGCTTTAGTAGCATTCTGTTTGAGTTGGTCAAAAGCGCCTGAAGAAAGAAAATCAGACCAAGTACTTAAAACAAGAGGCCTTGGAAAACACAGAGCATCTGACACACTCAGGTGTTCTTAACTTTTTCATTCCCAGAAGTGATTAACCTGTAACTTCTCCTTACAATTCTGATGAGTAATCTTGTAAAAAAGTTATAAGAACAGAAAAGCTAATCATCGAGTGTCCTATTTTGGAATAAGACCAAATTCTCATGTTTAATTCACGAGGAAAAGTACAGCAGTAAGTAAGGAGAATTACTACATGGATCTTGACAGTAAAAAGGTTTGAGGATGTACTTCTAAATAAGATATTCTATAATTCTTAATAAATGAGATTGTGCACATTTTCATAGTCACCTGTCTAGAGAGTAATTTTACAGGTACTGTACTGAAATATGAGTTTCTTTGTTGCCATGTCTTACCTGCACGAAATGTATCTGCACAGATTAGGCAAGTCTTCCATCCTTTGCGCTGATAGTAATATGCTAGCTGTATGAAAAGTAAAAACAACATAAAGTGAAATTCATTGTGCAAATGAAAGTCAACTTCAAAACTTGATGAGTATAAATGGATGAGGAGAACCAACCTTACTGCATGTTGTTGTCTTTCCACTTCCTTGCAGACCAACAAACATGATTACATTTTGTTTTCCCTTGCTTGGATTCCACTGTTTAACACCAGGATCAACGAGCTGTTCACAGGTGGACAAAAAAATGTTTACCTTACTATGATTATGGTTTAATGTCCACTATTCTAAAAAGCTGGGAAGCTTAATTACTTTCAACCCACTGACAGTGACAGGAAGGCAAACAAATTCACCTTGTTCTTTTACAAGGGATGGATACAAAATGTATAAAGTTATGAAATGCACATGCAAAGCTTTAGTTTCACAATTTACAATCTTGTCACCATCATCATTGCAGTTTTCTTTAGTCCCAACTAAAAGTTTTTGAAAAGCCTTACTCTTGAAAAAAAAAACCCAAACAAACAGAAAAAAACAAGTAAACAAACATTGAATTTTTAGGTGATATAGCATTTTAAAGTTAATAAAATGTCTTATGTTAGCCAAAGTGATCAAAAGAACACCTTTACAATTAGATACTTTTCTACCAAAATAAGAAAAGTAAAAAAAAGCCAAACTGTTACAGACCTTGCACAGCTCCTGGAATACAGCATGTTGAATCATCCTTCTTTTGTTTAAACCACCAGCCATGTCGTCAAAATCAATAGCAGATCTAAACAAGGAGTACAGGGTAGAGACATAATTTAAAGTTACTGGTTAAATAATATATAGATTTAGCCAAGTCTAAAAGCAGAGCTTCATTTTTTTTTCCCACACGTCTTAAGGGCACAACGCCAGGACTAGAACCCGGGTTGTCCAACTTGGAGCTCAGTGCACTGACCACTAGACTACTGGACAAAGCCGTGGTGTTGGTGTGCCCGTGGTACAGTTGACCACGCATGTTAAAAGTAGCATCTGGTATGGTTGGTCATACGGTGGTACAGTTGTAAGTCCAAATTTTTTTGGCTTGATGGGTTACAACTATTTTGTATAATTATGGGGCTACACTCTGCAAGCTCCACTATTATGGTATCTAACACTTTTCGATTATTATCAAAACTATAATAAAATTCTTTAATGTGATTGGTTATCACCAGTTCCATTTGAGCACTAATAGAACAGTGTATGTGCCATGCTTGGAATTGGACAGTGCATGCATCATGTTTAATATGTACATGTAATTACACAAAAGTAGTGTGTACGCCCCCTTGCTGCAAATTTTGCTGAGCTAAGTATTGCTGTTGTGTTTTTTTAATAAGAAAATAAAAAGCCGGCCGTAAAGATTATTCCTTAAATTTTGATTAATTGGTAACAGGACTTTGTGCCATCCGATTAACAAATTGGACTCACCCTTTGTTGCTCTCAGTTTTTGTTAATCACTACTTTATTACAGACTCAATTGGACTCCTCTAAGGCCTATTACCAATGTAAGTTCTGAGTACGAAATTTTTTTGTGTTGGATTCTTTGGGTGTTTGAAATTCATTATTTAAGTCTTCTCACCCTGTAACAAGGAAATGTTTATACTTATTGTTTCATTAGTGCCTTTTTTGTCATTTTATTGCCACTTTATTGCTACTTTGCATAATTTATCAATATGAATATAGCAGCAATATGCGTGTTTACTTCTTTTTTTGGCACCTGGTGCAGGTCAGTGATGTACCATCAGTTTTGCTTATCCTTTTTTTTTTAATTTATTTTTTGGCTAAGCAGTTTTGCAATTGTAGTATCAGTCTTGGTCTCTTCTGTGGCTGTAACAATGTAAGTGTTTCACAGTCCTCTTTCCGTCATGTTTTTTGTTATTTCTTTATATCATGTATTGTGTAACTTTTGTAATTGTTTTTTATTTTAGTTTCAACCTACATCAGTTAAGCTGTTGAGGAATTTTATTTCATTTATTTAAAAACTCCATGTCATTTCCATGACATGGAGTTTTTTATTCCATGGCCACAAATGTCGTGTAGTGCAGTTTAAACTAATTTAATGAGAAATTCACTTTACCTGACATTTTCTCTGAGTTTCTTCACAAGCTGGACATTGACATCAGCTTCTAGTAGAGCTGCACAGATCTCTTTGAGCATAGCACCAAGGACCTGTTGATTATAAAAAATCAATGCTCTGACCCTTTGACTCCCAGGATCTTATAAGTAATTCTCCTTACTGTATGTTGTACAATTCGTATGATGTTAGTTTAGAGAATTTGTAATTGGATCAACTAACAATCCCTTAATTGATATTTTTCTTTGTTCTCATCACTTGTTTGCTTGACATTATACTGATTGTGTAAGGAGAAATTCTGTCTAGGTCACTAGTGGGACTTAATGGGTTAAATCCACACCAAAATCATTGACCCTTTAACTGCCATAAGTGACCAAAACAGAATATCTCCTAATTAAAAATATTAATTAGGGGATCATTTGTTGATCCAATACCAAATTCTTAGAACTAACAGTAGAAGAGATGTGTAGCAGACAGTTAGGAAAATTGCTATTGAGATCTTAGGTATGAAAGGGTTAAGATAGTAGAATTTTGGTGGTAAAAACTAGGTTAACATATGAACTCATTATACCCAAAACACGACAACTATTTATACAAATTAATGCATGAGTGATTTACTCCTTCATAAAATTGGACCGGTACAAGTGAAGAAAAAAAATTCAAACTGATGCAGGTATACGCTAAGGATTTAATGTTTCACTTCCCAAATCAACTTTGTATATTATTTTGTCTTAAAACAGAAGTGACTTTCGATTTTCGGTTCCAATTTGTCATGAATATCAAACTTAAACACACATCAATAAGAAGATACATCCCATTCAGATAACAGGGATGATTTTATCAATTTTTTGTCCTGATCTTAGTAGGACTTTTGTCAAAATCTGCCTTCAGGCCCGAAATTTTGGCTGCTACTACCAACACTATAGAGAGCCTTAAATAATGAACAGGAATCTCGTGATTACATGTGAGTGCATCATTGAGGTAGTTTCTCTTACCTCTTCATTGATGATGGTTGCATTGCTCAAGGAGCGGAGCGCTGTGGTGATTTTCCGTCCTAAATCCGCGAGAACCATTTTGAAGAGATAAGGTATCTAACAGTACCTTTTTTTAAAATCGTCAACAGACACAAGAACACGAAATTGGGCCCAATTTGAACTTATATCAACGTAGTGCTGGTCGCCATCTTTTGTTCCTTGTTTATTCTCGAGTACAGCGGTTATTAACATAACGATAACGATACGTCACAAGTCCCCTTTCCCCCTCGGACAAAACAGCTGTAGGAAAAGCAGTAGCTTGGCACTAGTAAACATGGCATCCATTTCTTCAAGTTGTGCATTTTGTTCTACAGGAAACACAAATTTATCAAAGTGTTCTAGGTGTAGATCTGTAGTCTACTGCAGTAAGGATTGCCAAAAGTCGCACTGGAAAGCTCACAAGCCAAATTGCAAACCGCCTCTCAAAACAATACCAGCTAAGGGGAAAACGAAGTTTCCACAGCCTGACAGAAAAGATTTGGAAAGCATTGCAAGATTTGCATGTAGCGCTTTGAAAGAAACGTATTTCAGCGTCATCGACAACGTTTTTGAGGACCAGAAAGCACTGGATATTTTTAACGAGGTGATACAGTTGCATAACTCAGGTGTTTTTCAAGACGGGCAACTCAGCGGTGGTAACACGGCCTCCGATAAAGAGCAGAAATTCACTGAGACTAGGATTCGAGGGGACAAAATTACTTGGTTAGAGGGCAACGAAAAACATGCGCCAAATATCGTGAAACTCATAGATTTTGTGGACACATTAGTGATACATTGCAATAATCTTCCCGATGGGATACAAGAGTATCGCATTGAGGGACGCGCCAAGGCTATGGTGGCATGTTACCCTGGTAACGGAACGGGGTACTCACGGCATGTTGACAATCCGGACGGGGATGGGAGGTGTCTCACCGTCATCTACTATCTCAACCAGGGGTGGGGTGAGGAAAATGGGGGTAAGTTAAGGATTTACAGGGAAGATGGCCATGTTGATGTGGAACCATTTCTCAATAGATTGCTAATGTTTTGGTCGGATAAGCGCAATCCACACGAGGTATTACCCGCTTATAGCACAAGGTATGCTATAACTATTTGGTATTTTGATGCTGAGGAGAGACGGAGAGCAAAGCAGCTTCACCGATACAACGTTATGGGTGGTTTAGAAGCAGAATTTGCTTTGAGAGATGTGGAGGCCAAGAGGAAAGACAGAGACTTGGCTGAGGCGAAGCTAAGGGAAGAATCAGAGAAAATGGTGAAGAATTTGTTGTCTGAAGAAGACTTAGAAGCGCTTTCTGGGCTAATTAAACACCATCCTAATCCGTATGAAGTGCTTGGTGGTCTGGGAATACATCGGAGTGTACGAGAAGCTGTGCTGAAGCTGCTGAAAGAACGTTGAGTAAACGTGACTTTCGGTTTTGCAGGGACGAGTTGCTGGCTCTCTCGCTGTCACGCAACGCTATGGCGGTTCCTCAGAAAGCAATGCATGTTTGCGCATACTCTGGAAATTTCCAAACCACGTTTTTAGGCAAGAAAAAAATGATTGAGGCTGAGTTAAAATTACGCTCAAAAAAATATCCTGCGCTCCAGAAAACTGTAAAAAGGCAGTGTGCAAGCTAAAGAGGAGAGATTAGAATTGGCTGTTTGAAAAAAGTCAAAGAAAGTGGAAAACAATGGAAGGTATTGAGTAATATGCACTTCAGATAAAAAATAATAAAAAAAAAAACTTTAAGACTTGTGAATAACACTGTGTAACGTGAAGCATTTTGTTCCCAAATATATTTTTTAGTGTCAGGCCAGAAAGTTTTACCATCTTTTTCCGGGGTGGAATGGGAAAGGTTAAGTGCGAGAGGAGAATGCAGCTCAAACTCACACCGTTTACGAAGTCGTCAAAGAAAATTAATTAGTGCATATAAACCGCAGTAATTATGATAATCTATTCGATGTAATCCTCTCTGTAAAGCGTAGTTAAACATAATGCCTGGTTTTAACCAGATTATTCGTTATCTTGTTTTAATAATTATCATCCTCAACTTAATTTTCTTCATCAGTTAGCTCTGTCTCGGGAGAATCACAAAGAAGTACTTCAATTTCTTGTAGAGCAACACGCGAGCCGGGCATCGCTCGGCCTGACAAAAACTCTTTGCACTTTTTTGCTGCTGATTTTCCTTGCAAAGCTTTAAACAGAAAACAAGCTTGTTCTTCAGTAATTGTCCCGCACTTTTCGCGGTCCAGCATTTCAAATTCCCACTCCACATCGCGTATTAGAAAACTGCGGCGGTCAATTTCGTTGAGTACGTCCAAAACTTCTTCCTTAAAACACAGGTCGCAGAAACAGACTGCCTGTATCGCCGCTTGTACTTGACGCAGGCTTATTGAATTTTCAGGTCGAAGGTTGTGATAAAGTTTCTGTATTTCTGTGGCGGTAATTTCGTCTAATATTTTCCCTTCATTTTCCAAGTAAGTCGACAACAAGCTTTCAAAATTTTCGTCGTGCGAAGAAACAGCCATAATTTACTCTGCTTGCCTCGCTGTGAGAAATATTCGAACTGATAGTTCTGTAGTGAAGAAAACACCTGTATTTGTTTGTCTTTGGATTCAAACCCGGCTCAGTAATTTAAGTGTTAAGCGTTTTTCGAACGTAAATGAGTTTATCAAAGCTTAAGAAGCCATCACCTATCCTCAACTTGATAGCGTATCGATGCGTTTTTTTGTTTCTCTTGTAAGATATATCATCAAGTTTCTTTATGACACGTACGGTTTAGTAATTTGAATAAATAAGCTCTCATTAGTTTTGGCAGGGGCTGGTGGAGTTACAATATTTATAAAGCAAACATCTGCCTTTTTTAATTGTTCAGCGACAACACACCAACCAGATATAGAATCGTTCAAGCCAGTAGTTAGCGCATCGCATCGAGTCATTTACACATTTTAATAAGGAGAGCAATTTACAACTCCATCTCGTTTTACATATTTCATTTAAAATTCCATGTTGCAGCGAAATAATCAATTTTGGGATTACTTTCTCCGTAGGTATGAGAAAGTCAGGGAAACAAAAATAATCGTAAGGCTTTTCATCGCTCCAATATTGCCCTTAAAAATGTGTCAATTTGACAGTGACAGGTTCAGTTTAGGTGTTGAAACTTTGGTTTGGAAAAATAAAGAGCTTTTCCAAAAATGCCAAAAAAATAATTAATTTAACACCTATCCGGTCGAAAGCTTTCAAACAAAAAAATTTTTGTCGAAAAAGTTTTGTCATGCGCAAAAAACATAATTAATTGTAACACCTTTCCAAAACCTGCGACTAAATTGGGTTCAAACACGAAAAATTATATCCACTTATTTTTTCTTGGCTCAAAGTGGTAGCGGATCGCTTGTAGTATTTTTTTCACTCTTAAAAAATCTTTAAAAAATTTTGTGACGGTCAGAGTTTTCGTTTAGTTAAAGCCGGGGAATCATGGCTCCCTCTAAAAGATCGTTAAACTTCGTCAAAACTTGCTTTGTCAGAGAGAAGCGAGAACGAGTTTACAGGGTTTTTGTTTTCAAGTTATTGACACATGCACAAAGTAAGGGAGTGTAGGGAAATTGTCGAGGAAGCTACTCACAAAGAAACGAGTTCTTAGCATCATGAAATAATACTTACGTTGTCTTTTCTCTCGAAGAATAATTTCACCCGCTGGGGATTAGCCTGCGTAATTTTTGTATTTTTCCACCCCTCCCCTCTCTTTCCATTTGACCGTTGCTTGCCCTTTTGGTACAAATTTCTTTCTCTCCTCAGCCTTCCGCTGGTGTAAAAAATCAAAGATGGCAGCCTTAGTTTTCACCAGGAACATACTGAGCACTTTTTCACCAAAATTACACCTGCTCTATGGGCTAGGTGGACATTAAAATACCATATTCATTCCTTCAAGCTCCTGGGCGCTAATTTCAAATTTTGGACCTTGAAAGACGGCTCTTATCTGAGCCTGGCGCTCATTTAATGTTCACCATTCCAGCGAGTGAAAAGCTTGTTTAAGAAAAACAAAAAGTAAAAAAAATAATAACAAGAAGTGAAGATAATACCACAGTGATTCCTTTTGTGCACTTCGGTTTGTTTGTTTGTTTGTATTTTTTTTAGAGGGGGGGGGGGCGGGTTTGAACAATTATTAAATTTTTGTACTTACAGGGTGGGTGCTCATTTGAGGTTGGGCGCCTGATCGAACCAACTCTTAATGAACAAAAATAAAAGTCTTAAGCACATATTTTTATTATCATAACTTTAAAGAAGGGTTTATTCTAAAATGTGAGATCACTATACTCACTTTCCTTAAATTACGTTTATATGACTCACCGATCAAGTTTACCATGTGACGATCAACTTTAAATATTCTCTAGTTAAAAGGATATTTTAAGTCACCAGCGTGTTGGTAAAATATGCGAATTACGAAGAGGAAATTCGAACACTATTTACAATGTGTCGTAGTTTTCGAACAAAGATTATGACTCGACAGATAACAAAATACTTGTCCAAAGGTAATCTGTTAGAGTTTAAGACGCTTCAAGAAAGAAGCTTGATTTTAAATGTCCGAAAAGTTGTAGTAACTATTGAATCCATGCGGTACGAAAAATACACCTACAGCTTTTAAAATAACCGGCAATGCCATATTTCGGTTCAAAGCAGTAAACTGGTAAATTGTGTGACAGTCACGCTCCCTGCTGTCACGCAACATTCGCGATTGTAAGTGAAAACCCTAAAATTGACATGCCTTTTCCTTCTGTTGGAATCTCCTCACGTTGGTCGCCTCATACACCTTCTCTAGTCCACTGGATTGAGTCGTCATATTAATACTTTACGTATGACGGCCCGTACTGTCGCAGGTCATCAAACACTGCACCGACCTCTTATCAAAAACTTCCTCGACTGGAATTTGAGGAACTAACTGAAATTGGTTTTCTACTTTTTCCAGCAGCAGTTTTGTCACTCCTACAAAAAGGAAAAGTAGAAATGCTGAGTCCTTTTGGTTACAAAATTAAATTAACATAATATTTTCATTAATTTTTTTGTAAAGAAAAAAATTCTTCTTTCAAAATAAGTTTAGAGTTTAATATAGTTTTTTTTTCATAAACGTACGTCTTTTCCTTAGTTGTTTTAGACGCCGTTTTCACGCCACTCGTCGAGGCGTGAGAAGCGCCGCGAGCTGAAGGGTTACCACTTGTATTTGGAGACCCTTTCCAGGCCCCGGCGGATGTTGAACTTGTGCTTGATCCGGTTGTGCTGGGGAGGGCTGACGAAAGGCTAGGAAGTCTTTGAAGACTAGACGACGGTGAACCCTTTGATCCAGGATTTCTTTGTGGTGCTGTCTTCTGGCTTGTTTTAGCCGCACCAGTTGAAGCTATAAACGGTAGTAGGAAACAAAGACAGTGAGACTGAGAACAATCATTATGGGTCATGTTTGGACTTAGCCAATCACCTTTCAAATAATTCTTCACTATGTGACGCAAAATGGGAGAAAAAGTACGGAAAACGGCCACCTTCCAGAAGCGCGGGAAAACGCTGGTGACCAACGCGCGATTACTTTAAAATTTGCATCTGACTGGTTGAAAAGTTGGCGCGACTTTCAAGGCCAATCACAAAGCACTCTTAGACAGGAAAGACATCATCTTATATTTGATTGTAATTTGTTGTGAGTTTTTCGTCTACTTACTGGATCCAGAGTTAGAAGGCGTACGCTTGAGTGATGGATGACCTTCAGGCTTGCTTGCTTTCCCTTTCGCCGCAACAACTGTAAAATCGTCAGAGGTAAATGTCAACAGAGAAGTTTTATTTACCAAGGAGAAGGGAAGTAATAGATAAAACGTTGAATTCAGAGCGAAGCTTTGATATAATCTGATACGATTTCAGCGTACTGAGCGGAAAGTATTTCAGTCGTTTGTATATTTGTCATGTATTTCAAACTCTGAGAGACAAGTTGTCGCGGAAACAACGAGAAATAACTTTAGCGTATTTCAGATACCGGGGTTTCAGGTATCCAGAGAAACATAATCCTTCAGAGAGGAGAAAGGCCCAAAAGTGAAAGCGCATGACTCTTGTCACTGCACCATTCTCGCACGGCGCTGGCTACCAAGTTTTCCCGCCAAAACGCGCTTGTTTTTCTCACCAATCTAGAGATCGCTTATGACACAGTTTCTAAAGGAAGGTCTTACTTTTTCTCTTGTCATCTTTGCTGCCTTTCTTTCTGGGATCCGAAACCTTATTTGCCCCAGCAAGTTCCTCTCTCTCTTTCTCCTCCTACAGACGATAAAACAAGGATTTCAAAACCTTTACCATAAGCAGAGCGATGGTATTACAAGTGGTGGTGCTCGAAAAGAGGCCGTGAGGCGAAACCCTACCGCGAGCCCTGCTGGCAGGCTAAACAGACGTAATCCTCTCGTTAAGCCTGGGTGCCTTTAGGGAAAAGGGTGATAAATATGTTTATATATATATTTAAAGAAATAAAAATGATAGACGAGGCTAAAAGGTCTCATAGGCGGCGGTAGACTGCTGGTAGAGGGCTGTAATTTAAACCCATGATCAAACTGGGATTACTGGCATCTTCCTCTGCGAATCGATACAATGCAGGACACAAAAGAAAATAATTTCATCATAGAGATAATTCTTTACCATGACTATTAAAAGTCTTTCTTCCTCCTCCTTCTGTTGATCTATCTTGTCATCTTCGTACTTTGTTTTATCCAACTTCATGAACGCCTTGAAGTAAAGAACAAATGCAAGGAATGTGTAACAGCTAGAGGGGAGAATTAACAATTAGATCCTGAGAGTAACGATAAGACTATACCTCTCTGACTGCATTGCAAACATCAGGCTCCTTTTCATTGCTCAGTAGATTTCTGATACACTGCTCCAGTTGTTGTAACAAATGTCTGTCTGAAGGTAACTTTAACAACGATTTAAGGCGCGGAGGAACTGTACAGAACTTTAATCTTACATTTAACACAGGGTCCTACAAAACAAAAAGAGTGATGAGTTTTGAAACATTACAAAAGAACGCTGTTCTGATATATTACTTTGAAACCGGGTTTCAAACGCAATAAATTCCTAGTTTTCGCTTAAGCTATACGAGTTCTTCATAGAAGTTGATGAATGTTGCAAAGCTTGTTTTAAGAACTGCTACGTTCAAAGCTCCAACTTTTAAATTAAGGTTTTGTTTTCGATCTGTTTAATGCAAATGCATGGCAGAGGGAATTTAGAGAGTTTAGCGAAGCAATTACTGTCTCCAGAGAAAATCACCTACATTGTTACCAGCGTCCTTTTCGAAATAAATTAATCAAATAAACAGGTTTTTCCACAGAAAAGTAAAATAAAGCACCACACTACTGAAAGATTAACCTTTTCCAAGCGTAAAAAATGCGTTAGTGACGGAACAGTGAAAAGGAGGGAGGTATGAGTCGGGTCGCGTTTAGGGAGGGGTATCAGTAACCCGACCCAATCCTCCCTCCTTAACGTAAACTGACCCTATCACAATGAGGGAGGT